TCCTAATGAAAAATAAATATTGGCACCCTAAAGGTGGGACTTAGGAGCTCTGTTGAATGTTCAGGATTCAACATATTCTCGTTATTGCTATTAACCAGCTATACAAAGTTAGTCTGATATAAAATGTTTGGAAACATGAATGCTTATGCAATAAAGTAAAAAACCAAAGAGATTCATATAATAGGATGCAGAAAAGAAAATATGAAGGCACTGGTGAAAAAATTAATTCAAAAGAGGGAGAGAAGGGAATGTTCCACATCCTGTTCCTTGACACAGATATTTCCCTTTTTTGCAGTTGTGGTTGGGCCATCATAGCACTTACCCATGGTGGAGCCAGAATACCCACTATCTGGAGGAGCAGCCATTTTTGGTGGAACTATTATCCGAATGTGATGGCCACAAAGTGGACAGCCCTCCCCTTCCTCCTCCCCTTCCCCCCAAGCACTGCTCTGTAGTCGAGCTCCCTTATGCTCCAGAACTGTCCCTGGATGATTACCTAGTACTGGATAAAAATGTGATGCCATGCTGCTTAGGAGGAAATGGCTCCCCATTTTTGCTGGGTAGCCACAGTAGCGAGTATTCAGACCTGGTGCAGGCCGAAGAAGCAAGAATTACAGAGCCCAGCCAAGCTTCTTCTAGCTTTGAGTACACCATGTTTGATCCCAGTTCTGAAAGTCTCTCTCCACAAGGCCACCAGGCAGAGCTTCAATTCAAAAGCAGCTACCAGATGGTCTCCGACTCAGGGATCTCTGCTGACTACAGCCTGGTGGACTCCACTGCTGGCCCCACCAGTCTTTACACCAACCTCTGTGATAGAGCACCACACCCGCCGCCGCAACCTTTTCTGCCTACCTACATTGCATGTTCATAGCCTTGACAAGCATGGAACCCGTCGACAAACCAGAAGAACTGAAGCAGAAAAGGTACCAGCCCAGCCATCCCGTACCATGTTTGCTCTTCCCAGGAGAAGCTGCTGCAGTAGTGGGAAAGCCATGGATCACAACAGCTCTGGCTGGTCAAGCTGCTTCTATAGGAGGAAAAGTGGTTTACAAAACGGATGGGGAAGAATGTATAAAAGGCAGACACCATAATTGCCTTCATGATTATGCACTGAACATTATTTTTGACCACGATCTTGTTTGTGCTCAGACAAACCTATGAAGTTGTTAAACTTAAGAGGCATTGGAGGGGGCATAGGGTAGCAGCTTTCCAGCCAGCTGTAACCACCCCAACATTCAGCCCCAACATTCTCTGTCAAGATTGGATGATGTTCTCTCTATGTCACCTCAAAGAGTAAGGGGAGGAATGAACTGTTTTCTCTGGTTCCGTCTTTGCCCAAGTTCTTGGGTGAGACTGACTATCTTTTAAAAAAAAATGAAAAATCTACTTTCATGATGTATTATAAAAACAAGTGATTTAAATATACCATCTGGGCCTGGGCCAGGAAACGGCAGGATTTTTTCCAGCACCTGGAAGGGAGCAAAATTCAGGGACTGGAGCAAGAATTCTTACAAGTTCAGGATGTCTGGAGTCGTAATTCAACTGCAATTCACTCAATGGCTTTTCCTTCCCCATCTACAAAAACTGGCTAAAACCTTAAGGAAATATCTGATAGACAAGATGCGCCAATTATCAGATTTTTAGAGCACTGCTTTGGTATTCCACCAGCTGTTTACTGTCACTGTGCATGGATTGTATAGAAAATTACTGTTATTTGTCCTCATAAGGATGTTCATGCTCCTCTAGGCAAGTCCCTTGTGTCGAGTTCCTTCAAAATCAGCACACTGGATTGAAATCACAGGTGTTTCAGACTAAGACTTTAATTTAAATGTCATTGACATGCCTACATAGTATTTTTTGTAATTATTATGATAATTTAGACTGGAAATGTGTGTATGTTTAACTTAAATCTTTAAAAATAAATAAAGGTCCTTGTATTCTGACTCACTTGAGAGAATTCAAAGAGGATACTTTATCAGCTTACATTTGTTATAGTGCTTTCTCATTCCTTCTCCCAGCCCTTATCACTTCATATAGTTACGTTTTATTTGCATCACATAGCTGATGAACATGTGAGGCTTTATTTTGCCTTGTGAATCAATGGGTTGATCAGCACTGTATCAGACCCTCAGAGCAGCAATCCAGGTTGCAGCACTAAAAGAAAAAGAGGAAAATTCTGTTCAGTCGGGTCCCACTCCAGGTGACCTTGTGGATAGAACAATGCAGTTTCTTGGTGATAGTACAGAAGTGATTCTTTCCAAAGTGCTTTTTGATTTCCCAAATCAATCTACAGTCCAGGGTTTGGGGCAATTTTATCTGATGGGATACTTCCATTTATGGCTCCAACCAGCCAGGAGCAGACCTGAATTGATCGTGGGCTACTTAGTAATGGCTTAGTGGTATGTGAACTTAGTCATTTTGTTTGATAAACTATAGTTTATCGTTCAAGATGTTGGGCAAACCCAGACACTAAATAAGCCACAGTTTAAGGTGGTACTTGAAACAGATGACTGTAGTTAAGACTTCCTTAATCAGATATAGTAGGCAGGCCATCTTTTCAGCCATGAGAGTCACAGCCATTACCAGCTGAGAACCATACTGAGGGACATACAAAAAAATAGCATTTAGCAATAGCACTTAGACTTGTATTCCACTTTAAAGTGCTTTACAGCCCTCTCTAAGCAATTTACAATCTGCATATAGACCCCAACAAGCTGGGTCCTCATTTTACCGACCTCGGAAGGATGGAAGGCTGAATTGCTGGTCAGAATCGAACTCCTGGCAGCGAGCAGTGAGTTAGCCTGCAATACTGCATTTTAACCATTGTGCCACTACAAAAAATACAAAGCATGTCACATACACACATCCTTGGTCAGGTGGTCTCAGTTCATAAGAAGATGTTGCTGGGGAATCACAGAGGGACTGGCAATTTCTGTGCCAGGATACAGAGGTCACACAGCCTATTTGCAAACTCTGCAGCCCCTTAGTCACAGGAAGCCCCTTAAGTCATGGCCCAGATTTCTTCCAAGCAAATCATATACCAATAGATGTGGGGGAAAACAATATCTTCCCTGCCAGTACAGGAAATGGAGGATTTTACCTTCAAGGTACCATATTCATCTCCCTTAACAAAGCCTCTTGATCAAAGCCCTACTTTTGTACATGCTGAACTACCACTTCCATCATCCCCAGCCAATGTAGCCAATAGTCGTAATTATTTATTTAGCAAATTCATATAGCTGCCCATCTCACCCAAGTAACACTGGGCAGCATACAAAACTTAAATAAATCAATAAACATTTTAAAACAAGCATAATATCAGACCTGACCCAGTCTGGTCCCTTAGGAGAAAAAGACTTTCAACACCATTTGGGTGAAGTGAAAGGTTCTTTTCCTAAAGGCTGCTGGTTGCAGTAAACTCAAGCTAGAATTAAATTTCCCGCAGAAAAAAAACTTACAAAGATTTCTCTTCATATGAAGAGCTGCATAGGTGTTTTAGAAACGCTAGGGTGTTTGGGGCAATCCACATTCCAATCTCAGGGTGCATGGCCTTGAGCTCTGGTACAAACTGGCCCACACTTCCCTGGTCTTTGTCAAGCTGTCATCCCCCTCCCTATTTCTCATCACAACCCCATACATGTTTATTGCCCATTTGCTCTCCCTGTGCCCCCTCCCCACACTAGCTTTTGACGGCAGGATGCCAGTGAGGCGCCAAGCCAAAAATGGCAGACCTGACACATTATTAAAAATATAAAAGCAATCTATATTAAAAATATACATAACCTGACACAAGAGAGTAGATATTAACAATGATGCAGCCATCTTAAAATGTCGCTAGTCCACTCACACACACACACACACCCTATTGACGTAGCCCAGTCTCATGCTGCCTGGAAAATTCTGGGAGTCCAACTCCACACATCTTAACATTACTGAGTTTGCTTTATTCCATTAGAATGTTAAGCAGATCAATTCTATCCCCATTTTTTCTCCCCAAATAACCTCCACAGCCTTGCTAGTATTGTCAAACCTGCTGGAACTCAGTGAAAGCAACTCCTCGCCGGCACATTCTGATTTCACAAGTTTTCATTCAATCTTGTAAAAAGCACACAGGAAGGCGAGAGAGTAGGCAGTCTCTGAAGATTTCAGCTTCTGGTCTTACACTCAACAAACTGTTACATCTAACCTCACACTCTTTGAACAGCACGCTAGAGTCCCAGGCTCGGCCTTGCTTAATGGTAATGATAGTTTCTATCAATGTAACAGAAGCCTCTTTGCAGCCACTATCAGGGATGCAGCTTTTCAGCTTTGCTGACTTATATTGGATGACAGCCAAGACATGACTTTCAGCCTAGAACTTGGGAAGATTTTTCACCTGGCAGGGATCGTGGAAGGGCTAAAACACTGGTGACTGCAAATGGGCCCTTGGAAATAATATCCACTCTTTGCAAGTCCATTCTGCTGATCTGTCTCAAGTCTAGTCTTAGGGTGAAGACACTGCCTTCCACAGCTATGTCACAGATTCTCTGGGCCTGAATTGAGAACCCAGCCCTGGAACCTGTCTGCCCTCTTTGTCTAGTACAGGCAGAAGGCCATCCCACCACATATCCTTGTGGATAAGCTGAGAATTTTAGGTGCCAAAGATACCCCCAAATTGGGTTCAGCTTGTTCAAGGATGCACTTGTATTTTTATCAATCAAATTTAGGCATGGTAAATGACTGGGGTGGTTTACAGATGGCAATTATGGAATAATTACTTTTTAAAAGTACCTATATTCCCATACCCGTGTATTAGCCATTCTGCAGATAAGCAGCCTCTGATTTTTAATCAAAACATTATGAGAAATGCAGGGCAGTTAATTCAGTGGCACATTATTCATGATATTTTGGTTAAAAATCCAAGACTCAGCTTATCCACAGATGGCCTTATCCATAAATACAAATGGTAGTTTTAGGTGGGGAAGGTTATAGTAATGCCATTCCTCTAAGGCAGGGTTCCTCAAAGTGAGCAATATCAACTCCAAAAGGTCAATGGAACTAAAGATATATTACTTGTAGCGCTATTAAAGTAATGTTACTGAATTTATTATTTTCATATAATTGGGGGATCAATGAATCATCTGAAAGGGGTTGAAGAGTTTGGAGAGTCTTGCTCTGGAGTCATATACATGATGACCCTGCCCCATTTCTTAAAGCAATCTCTGCCCATTTTTTCCCGCTACACTTCAAGCTTAATGTCATGATCCTGACTAACAAACCCAAGCAAATCTGAATTCTGAGGCTAAGGTCTTCCTCTAAGAACTTCTTTATTAGATACATTATATCGGCACAATCCAATGGGAAAACCAACTCTAAATGTTTCCCATGGTTTCAGTTTAATAGGAAATAACTCCCTCCCCAAAAGTCACAGGTCATGTTGACCAATTAGGTTAATTGGCGGGCTCTCCAGGCACTCCTCCCCATCTCTATTCACCACCTGTAGAGATGACCTTGGTTCCCAGGAGTTCTGTGTTTTGTCTAGCAACACATATCATCTTCCTTCCCCTTCCCCCTGTGTAGCAACCGAGGAATAGAAAAATGGCTTCCGTGAAGTTCGATTCAAAGTTGACACTTAAGTTTTCTGTCGGGTCAGCTCAAGTGGTGCTGCCTGGCATGATCGCTATGTCCCATCTCACTACAGGCAGTTTCCTCCCATTGGCTAATGGAAGATCCTTTCCCCTCTAATTATTGTCTTTCACTGCTATTTTTTTTTCATAAGTTCACAATAAGAGTAGCAAAAGCTGCATTTTAGGTATGTGTGTGCCTGAAATTATGGCATTAAAAGTATTTTTACAAGTTCACTAATAAAGCAATGAAAGGGGTGGCCTTTTTATTGATTCAGTGGAGATAAGCAGGAAAATCCACTGATCAGAGTCCATGTAAACATAACGCACAATGAATATCAGGCCATCACTTTAGCCAAAGCAAAGACTGGGTCTGAAATCCGAAAAGGGATTCCTTAATCTGGTTTCATTTCCAGCCAGTTAGTAAATAGCAGCTGAAGTCCCGAAAAGCCGTTTTGACACTTTCCAAGTAGACATTTTAGAAGGCTTCTTCTACATAGCTTCCTGATAGAACTTTATGGGATCCCCTCCTCTCTTCCAAGGGCTAACAAATCCATGTCAATGAGAAGAAATTGGAGCAGCCCAAGCCACCACCCTTTCCACAGTGCAGAGAATACTCTCCTAACTGACCAAATAGTATACAATACCTCCAACTTTGTGCAACAATAAAATTGATTAAATTTCTTTTAATCGTCAATTTGCCAGCTCAGTCTAAATGAAAAACCCAAACTTTGATTTAAAAAAAAATCATATTCAGTATTAATGGAAGGTGTGTTTGCTGCAGAGCAGGATTGTCCAGAAGTCCTTAAGTCTGGGAGCTAGGCAGAGTGGTATCAACTTCAGAAACAGAACATCTATTTCCAAAAACGGTTTCATTCTCACTTTCATTTTTGCATGGCAATAGAGAGATTGTCATGCTACCTTGTGCATCAAATTTCACCATCCATTCTTGATCCTTTGTCCCTGGTTGGAAAAGTTGTGCCCTAATCAGCTTGGTTAAACTTTGATTATCTAAACCAACATCTTTCCCAGTGTCTGGATGCAGCCACAGTTTTGCTGGGAAGTAGCGTTCGATGGCTGAGAAATGTTCTGCTTCTTCCCCAGCTTCTCCCAGAAACCTCATGGAAACAATCAGTTGGCAACCCACAGCCAAATGGCTACGTTTCTGAGTGAAATGATTAGATGTGTCCAACAACAGGGCTACAAGTTGGGCTGCTGTACAGGCACTGGAACAACTGTTCAGGTATTCTTCCAAACCATCCAGTGCGATCATGGAGGGGCTATTAGGTAAGGTTTGGTGCAGGGAGGCCACCAGTTGTAGTAGCTCCTGGAAGGAAGAGGGGTACAGGAAATGGATTTTCTTGAGACAAAAAAACAACAACACATTAGCGACCAAGAGTGTTAGATACAAAGTCATGATAGATATCAGGATAGCCTTTGTAAAAATACTTTCCCAGATACTGAAAAGCTGAAACCCACAATTTACATCTTACAATAAATGCCCAGCACTGGGCTAGTCACTACATTTGAAACCCATTCCCATAACAGGCTAATGTGTTATCAGACAGAAAATGTGCATTTATACCTACAGATGTTCAACATCATTCTATGTATTAATCATTTGAGACCCATGAGCCCATTTAAGTCTATATTTTTTCTGAAACATAACTGAAATTATTTTCCTTCCCAATATTCTTCTTCCAGACAATGTGATTAATTAACATAGAGAGAAAATATGTTGGCTTTCTCTCAGGCTTTCTGGAGTGCCAGAGAATGAAGCTAAATACCCCTCATCCCCACGATTAAAAGTCATAGGAAATTTTGAAGGAGAAAAAGATGCTGCCTGCTAAATGTAAAATAATCCATACAGATAGACTGTTTGTCTTGCATATTGCAGGAACATCTCTTTTCCAGTTTCCACATCGGCTGAGAACTGCAAAGCCTACCCCCGTTTCATTCACACCTGGATTGCTCCTCCTCCAGCTGCCTTCCCGCCCGGAAGCCGCTCCAGAGCCCGCGGTGCCAAAAACAACACGCGAGTCGAGGAGACAATGGAAGCACTTGCTAGTGCTGCGCGGAACAACAGTGCTGAACGACCCGAGCCGGGAGGACCGAGAAGCAACAACGGCCGCGGCCGAGGCCCAACCGATACCGCTCCCACCAACTCCAGAAACTCGTCCGACATAGCTAGAGCAGAACCCTAATTAGAAGCCCGGGCGCTCAGCAACCAATCCAAAGCCTGCATTACAGTGAACCCGCCCAATGATTAATGCCGCCAACGTAGCTGTATTCAGGAGGCACACAAACAACGTCGACAATTTAAGCCAATCAGAAGCGACAGTCACCCAAAGGCGGCCAATCCGTGTATACGTTTTTAGAACTTTCTGACACGTGGATTGGAACGTGACTCCGAGAAAGAGCTTCTTGAGGATGGGTGCTGCTTGGTTCTCGCGACTTGGGCGTTGGAAGTGCGACTACGCTGCGATTTTTCGAGTGCCGATTTCGGGATGCATTTTTTTAAAAAAATAAAACGACAGGCGCCTTGACTTTTATCGATCCATTTCCTTGATTAGTTTCTTCGTTAGCTTTGTTCTCAGAAGTGTTACCGAAAGTGACGGAGGAAGCACGTGCAGGAAAGTTTGGCAAGTTTCTCCTCTTTTATAATACGTGGCTGCCTGCGATGCTTTCGTATGGGCTGCCAAGAGACTGGCAGATTCACAGTGGGGAAAATGCAGCTTCTCAGAAACGCCTGCCTTTGGCCAGATACAGAACTAGGCTGTTTAAGCAGAAACATGAACGAGACGGACTATCCAAGGGATCCTGCTAGAATACAAACAGTGGGGTGGAGTCCGCACTAGATGGGCATGTAATGGGAAGGAGATCGCAGTGGTGGTGGTAGTAGTAGTAGTAGTAGTAGTATGTGTCTCAGTAATACCTGTGGTCTATTCATTCCATGGCTTTTCGGGGCATCTGAAATACTACTGAATCCAGAAGGTGTTTCTTTTAGTGTTGGTGATGGCAGTAGAATTGTTCAGTTTACAAGATATAACCTGCATCCTAGACAGCCTTTTGATCATTTGAGGAAGAAAAAAAGAGTATCGCCAGCAATCTTTGGACAAGGGAGCCATTCTTGTTCTGTGATTCCTATCACATCAAATCTAAGCTGTCGGTCTCCTTACTGGGGAGTTGGGTGGTATGTAAATTTAATAAATAAATCTCACATCCCTAATGAATCCTTTAAGTAAGGATTATGTATAGATTATGTTTAAGTAAGGATTAAGTATAGATTTAAGTAAGGATTAAGTATAGATTATGTTTTATCTAACAATAACTACTTTTAATTGAATATACTTTGCATAAATTTTAGCCTTGCTTATTCTAAGCCTTAGGGGATTAATTGAGAAATCTATATTTTTCAAAAGATATTAAAATATAAGGGAACTGAAATTTGCTTCATTAGTTATTTTAGTCTTAAAATATTTCTAGTGATTTGCTATACAAAGTTGTTATTTTCTGTATAAGGTAGGCCTGCGTAACAAACAGTCTGTGGTCACAAAGCAGCCTTGTGCCACCTGCCAGTGAGTTTTGAAAAATAACCAATCTGCTGCCACCAAACATCACCATCACTAGTAAGGATTTGTCAATGCTTTAGGTTCTGGTAGATTCTTCTGCTTCAAAAGACATGCTGCTAAGCACCTCCTATGTCTTCAGACCTCATTGAGACTCTGCTGCTAGTCACGAAACAGCCATTACTATTCCTTTGTGGCTCACAATTAGTTTTAAAGTGTCAATCTGCCCTTTTACCCTCTGAAGTGAAATGTGTAGACATGATAGAAGGTGAAATAAATAGCATAGTCTCAGTATATCCCATCATTATGCCCATGAGCATAGGACTTTTACACAGCACTAGTCAAGTAGGGATTTTTTAAAAGAACAATCTATGGTTGAGGGAATTTATCTTTCCTAACAAAAACAAGTGTACTTTTTAGTGCTTCACTGGTTGGCTGCCGCTTATAAAATTTTGAAGGAGGATCTTTTATTCTACAGGCATTGTTTTCTTAATTTGGGCTGAACCATATATTTTTACTTCAGTTCCCTGAGTTAGCCATCAATATCTAGTGCTTGCTGCTATCGTTATCTGCTGCTTCTTCCACCCAATCTTTTAAAATCCCACTTCCTGTAAGATGGCTAGTTGAGATTGAAAAATACCATGATCCCACCCATGGAAAGCATGAAAAGAGCAACCATTTCCTGGTTACCTTTTTGGAACTGCTATGAATAATTTGGACCATGAGGAGTGGAAAGCTTGCACTGAAATACTACATCTATGCCTATTTGATTTCTATAATGTTTCATATTTTTATTATTGATTTCTTATAAAAATGTTTTTAGGCAAAGCTTTTACATGAGTTCCTTTGAAGTTTGCAACAAGCAAACCAAAACACAAGGAATCTGAAACAAGTCTCAGAAGCTTTTATTAGCAATTTTCTCTTCTAGAGGAATCTACTACGTAGCAGCTACTTTAAAACTCTTTTAATGACAAGACACTGGTGCAGCTCCTCTGTGGAGCACAGTTAAACACGAGAAACTGGAGAAAGTTTGAACTGGTTTCCTAAGAAAGCTATTTCAAGTAGCAAAAGGTGTACCTAACACTGCTCTATGTTTGTAGGTAAGATTATAAACATTTAAAAAGGGGCTGCATATACTTGAAGCTCGTTTTCAACACAAAGATCAGAATATATTGTCAGATAATTCTTGAAAACTCCAAATGACAAGTTACCTAAATTGGGGTTTTCAAGTGAGATGCTGATGCACCTGGAAGATCATGCAAAGATAGCTCGTAAACAAAGAATTTTTGACATAGAATTACAAACAAAATATACCAATTAGGGCACGGCAACATCCTTGGCCCAACTTATAAATAAGAAACTTCAGGGGGCCTTTATTCTGTTGTGGTTTAATATACACCAGCAACATTGGAAAATAAATATCACAAAATTTCACCACTGATGTTAAAAACTCTTGTCCAAATGGTTTTTACTCATTATGCCTACTGTGGAGATAATCAATTGGTGCAATATCATGATTATGGCATGAGTACATACATTTACCACAGCCAGTTTGGGTATAGTGGTTAAGGCACCAAGTTAAAAAACTGGGGGACAGAGGGTTCTAAGTTTTATTTGAGGTATGAAGCCAGATGCGTGACTTTTTGGGCCAGTCATTTTCTGTCAGCCTTGGGAAGGAGGCAAGGGCAAAGCCACTTCCAAATCTTGCCAATAAAACTGCAGGGACTAGTCCAGGCAGGCGCCAGGAGTCATAACTGACTCAAAAGCACCAACCTACATTCAAGAGGTATGTATCAATCACTAAACCAAGCTGATTTAATGAGAAAAAAAGTAAGACAGCCAAAATAAATTAACATTTTCCATTGGTGCCAAACCTGTTGGCAAAACTTTTTCCAGGCAAAACAGGAATAAGAGCCAAGTCCCCAACATTGAAAGACTTTATCCCTATAAAGTTAGGAGCATTGCATCATGAGATCATGTTTGCTGTATTGTAATTTTTACCAATACTTTTTATTTAGTACAGTACTGATTGTATGTAAGTGTTTTTAACTATTTCAAATTTGCAGCAGGAAGAATTGACTTCAACAACATTTCATCTTTTTAGGCTTTATTGTGATTAGGAGATTGTGCAAGACTGATTACAACTACTTTAATTTTTTTTTCAAAGAAATGCCTTTAGCTAATGCTTTGAAACACTTCCAGATTTCCTTCTGAAAGAAGGAACATTCTATAAGAGGACGTTGTTTTCCCCCCTATTTATCTGAAAATTTCTGCTCCCACCTGCAGGTAGGAAATTTGAAAAGAAACTTCACTCTTGTTTCTCTTCTGAATCCACCATGGCGGCGATGATTCTCCAAGTTAAAGTACTTTGATTGATGTACCATTCACAGAGCCTTCACCTATCATCTTCAACCACCCACACAGCAGCTACATTACCCGCTTCAATTGCAGCTGCATGCACGAGCGCGAGGAACTAGGAGCCCTAGAAAAAGCTGTGGCTCCCTGGGCGGAGGCGGTGCCACTTTCAGTAGCAGTTTCCTGGGTCAAGGGCTGCTTCCAGCCTCTCAGTCAGAGCTGCCAATCACCCATTGTGCTGCCCTGCAATCACGTTGCTTAGTGATTGCCGAGCTTGTTGCCAGGTTACGCAAGAAATTCCTTTCAGGGTGCCAATGGGTGGACTTTTATAGTTATGAAACCAGACTATCCCTCCCCCACCTCTTCTCCCTAAATTCATGCCACCAACCCACTTAAGAGTGCTATATTGGTCTCTGATTATGTTTTCAATAATACTTAGCCATTTAGATACCATACCTTGGAGGGAATTCTCAGAGGGAGAGGAAGTGGTTTCTGTTTAACTGTTTTTGGGGAGTTCTGGCTGGCAAACATCACACTGCAAGCTCACTTTTCTGGTAACTTAGTATGTCTAGGTGCAACTCTCCTACTTCAATCTTAGAGCAACCCCATGGGAACACAGGCCCAAATCTGTTTACATAGCCACCTGCAGCAGGTATATTTGATTGTGTTTGAAACAGACCCAACATAATATTCCTTCACTCTGGTTTTAGTTTTTCCAACCCAACAGAATGTTGGAAAGAAGTTATGTAAATGAACTGGGGACCATGTCTGCCTCTCTCCATTAGCAGCATACTCAACAAAATGGGATCAAATTTGGTATAGCAGGCCAAAGAAAGATCAGGTTGACCATGATCTGCTGCATCGAGCTGGGGCTTCAGGAGAAAATAAATCCTGGAGGAAGCCACCTAGTGCACTTCGGCAATGGCTCTGAGGATTACTGGCTGCTCCATTCTTAGCCTAATTCTTCCTGGCTGCCTGGCAAGGCTGGAGCAGAAAGAACTGTAGATGCCACAGTCTGGAAAAGGCAAGGCTCTTATAAGGAGTTGGCTTTTTCAAGTTGCAGTATCTTTTAATGTAACTACTTAAAGCAAATTCATCTTTTTGGGGGCTCTTACAGGAGCATGGAGATAAAACCAGGACTTCAAATTACTTTTGGAAGTTGATGGGAAGCCAATGCAGGACCTGCAAAATAGATGTAATATGCCTTCCCCACCAAGCACTCGGGTTTTTTTATTTAAATATTAAATATTCATTTTATTTGAAATCCGTTCATTTATTTAAGATGCAAAAATACATTTGGTCACTGGACAAAAATAAAAAGATAGCAACTTACAATTCTTTATTTTTTTGTCCCATTATCAATACTTTATTACCCTGAGATATTGTGTAAGAACATGTACTTCATCTATCTGGCAGAAATGTATGACTGGATAGATAGACAGGCAGACATAGTGTGCTGACTATATTTCATCCTATATGGACAGTTGGTATTTTCCAGTCAATTTCATATAGAAGGGAAACGTGGGAGAATTAACTTTTCATCTGTAAAAGTTCCTACCATGCTAAATATCATAGGTTCAATTATAAACCAGTTAGCAAAACACATCTACTCCTTTGTTTGAATAACGTCTTCATATGTAGAAATTAGCAAGTGATCATTTGGATACAAGCATTATTAACTGTCAGTGTTGATAAAACTATTTAAGAATTGGTTTTTTAAAATTCCACAATGGCCAGAGCTCACCCCTTAGTGTTCTGAAACTTTCTTGCTCCATTCTGTGACAAATAGCAGCATGAATCAATTGCAGACTGGTCTTAATCTAAACTAAATCCCAATTTCTCACTTCATTTAATGATCCAATCACTGTTAAGATAAGTAATGAAAGTTCCCAAACTGAATAATAATCCAGTAATTATTAATCCAATAAGCAGCTGTGATTGATTTTTCAGGTACGTTTAAGCTCTTTGCATCTTACTTTTACAAAGTGTGAACTGTGAGAGCCTT